AACTGTCCTCTTTTCAATGACCCCCCTTACTAATTTTTGCAAACTTTTATACATCCCCCCCCCCCCATTATAGTATTTTACTTTGTGCTGATCAATTTACATTATACATACAATTGTAGGTAAAACATTTTATTACATCTTTAGCTTGTTAATCGAGTAGTTGAAAAGTTTTTACACTTAAATTTTACAATGCAGAATCAATTAAAAGGGTGTTAGACTAAATATCATTGTTTGTGGAAGTACAAGTATGATTATTGTAAGTATAGCTGACAATTGTAGTAAAGGTTCTAGTTGCTATCCTCTTCCTATCAATCCCATGGAGTAGCCAGGTGTTGCTCTATCATAACAATGGGCAAAGAAGCTGATTTTTTATTTTCATTTTGTGGAACTGATATACCAGACAAGTCAACATCATCCTCATCTAACCATTCAGCAATTACAATATAAGCATAGTCAGTGTGAGCAATAACTGCTGTAAGGTCTCCTGGCTGCTACTCGCATTGGTCAAATTCTTTTCTGTTGAGGAGCAGGTGGTCTACACTCATGAATTTTGGATATGTTATAAATGAACTTATAAATTAAAGAAACTATTTTTTTTTTAAAAAAAGAAAACGTTTTTAAAAAAAAAAAGTTATTGATCAGTTAATATTACATATTTTCAACTTTAATTTTCAAAGCTTTAACCTAAAAAAAAAAAATCACATAAATTCTCAAAAGAACCATCAAGATGTCGGCTATAACTTAAGTGGATGTATAAATTATTATTATGCTAAAAATCGACTATAAAAGGTGAAACAACGATACCCTCTGAAAATTAAAAAGTGGAGGTCGTCATTTTGATAACGAAATTACGATACCCGTTTTTCTGGAATTTCCGGTCTATACGGAAGTACCTAGAGTAAGGGTTGTTTGATCCCATAGGGGTCGCGACCCACAGCCCACAGGTTGAGAACCACTGGCTAATGCTTTAGTTAGGTCCCAGTGGAAGGAAGTAGTGAGGCAGGCCAAAGCTCTACATGGGCTGCAGGGCCACAGGGATGGATGAATAATTGCTAGGATAATAATAGCATTGAATAATTGATCATAAACAATAGTAATAATGTCTTGACTCTTGATGTCACTTGGGATGGGGTGTAACCTACACCTACTACCACTACTACTTAGTCTACTTACTTAACTTACTAAGTCACTTAGGTATGTAATTGGAATTTTCATAATTATATAAGATATGCGAAAACTACGCAAATATAGTCTAAAAGCTCTTGGCCTAGATTCGATAGGCCCTTGAGTTTTAAGTTTTAGCCTTTTCAGTTTCCAGACAAAACTTTAGGTTGACAAGCGTAGGACTACGACTCTTAGGCCCTACCCCCTGCCCTAGAGTACTAGTAGGCTGTAACTGTAGGTCGGAGGATGTGTATATCAGCCGACTCATTATTAGGATATCGCTTATAAACACTAGCTATTGCAGGTAAGGTAATAAAAGAATACTCAAATTAAAAGGTAAAAAAAATATGTAGGGCTCATAATAAATGAATATATATAAATAATAATGTTTAGGCCTACTTTTATTTTAGCTTCACGTTAAAAAGGTCGCTCTCGGCATGACCGTGAGTTGTTGTACATTACAAAATAATTATTCTGAGTGCATTCCCCTTGTTCTTTTGAGGGATTCATGATTGTTGCGTTGTAAGTTACAATATTGTATTTTTTTTTTTTAAATGTTTAATTTTAAAAAAATGATCATGTGTTTTATAAATTGAAATGTTATAATAGTGGGCCAAATAGTGATTTTTTAAATAAAACTTTATTCAAATCTTGGTTTTTAATATCTTATTATTTAAATAGTCACTCCCTGAGTCTGGACCTTAGCCTTAGCCACTTAGCCTTAGACTTAGAGTACTTAGACCTCTAAGTCCAAGTCTAAGAAGACTTTTTACTTCTTACACTTTGACTCAGAGACTTCAGCTTTTTAATTAACTTGTACTGTATCTTTATTATTGACACCTAAATTATATCTTGACTTTTTAAACAAAGTTGAGATGGCGCAAAGTGAACCGAAAGTTGTCTTAACTGGACCCCCCAAAGGACATGGCCATGCTACACTAGCAGCAATGCAATTTGTGTCTGGCGGCTGTGCTGGTAGGTATCATATAATTTATAGTAAAGTCATAAGTATCAATAATTAATAATAATTATACATCTAGTATTCAATAAAATAGTAATTGTCAATAATCAATAATAACAATCAATCGTTTTCAAGTTGTTATTATTATTTTATATTTAATTTCAATTTAGTTAATTTTGAAATATGTAAATATTGTAGTTGTAGTAATAAATAGTAATAATGTTACATAATATTAATAATATGTAAAATGAGTAATATTAATATGTATTGTAATTGTAAAACTGGGCCACCTCTTACTTACTAAGTTTCTGTTTTAATTTTATTTACCTGGTATCTGTTTTGAAATGAGAAATGGCAAGCATATCAAAAATAATATCATAAAAATTACTTTTCAGGTACCCGGTAGCCATAATTGTTTGTATGAGTATGATTATAATTAATTATGACAATTATGAGTATGAGGTATAAGTGTATGAATCATGATTAGAATATAACTATATAATATATATCGTCTGTAGACACTGTAGTACTGTGTGTGGTGGGGGGAGTAGATTTCATTGTTTTTTGTTTGTTTTAATTTTAGTTATGCCCCACTAATTAAAAATTAATAATAATATGAGTCTCCCTTTGCCTTTATATGTGCATCAATAGCTGAAGAGTTTGCATTATGCTATACAAACCATAAAAATCCATCTCTTTTTCTAAATTAAAAAAAACAAAAACTTCTTAGTAATGAAAAATGGAAAGACTGTCTTTACTAGAGGTGTATCATATTATGATTCTGCATGGCCTGTGACAGGAAGTGAAAATAATGAGATGTCAATAAATTCAAACTTTTTTTTTTGGACAGAAACTGGTCTGCAAAAACAAAAGATCTGTTTGGTCTTAACATTCTGCAAAAAATTAAGGATATTTTCTATTATATTACATATACATTTCATTTAGATAAAATATGATGTTTTCTGGAATATTCATGTCATGAATGATATATTACAAATGATTTTGTAGGTTTCATTGAAGTGTCCATTATGCATCGTCTTGACCTTTTCTATTATATTACATTTACATTTCATTTAGATAAAATATGATGTTTGCTGGAATATTCATGCCATGAATGATATTTAACTAATGATTTCGTAGGTTTCATTGAAGTGTCCATTATGCATCCTCTTGACCTTGTGAAGACAAGATTTCAAATTCAAAGGGGTCCAGAAGATCCGAATCGTTACAGTTCTATTGTGGATTGCTTTCGAAAAATGTATAGGCAAGAAGGGTGAGCTTATATTAATTTTTATTAATATTGTTTTTGTGTAGTTAAAAAAGTCAATCAACAAATATTACTAAGATGTTGAAAGATATTTTATGGAGGTTCACGGGCATCAAATTGAATCTGAATACCTTAATTTACACCTATTTTTGGTAGTTGTAGTAGTGTAATGTAGTAAATGAATTTTTAATTACTTTATTCTTAAAAACTCTTAAATTTTGAAACATTAAACTCCAAAATTTGCTGCATAAATTTTGTTGTAAGGGGAAAAAAGTTTGACAGGGTAAGCACCTAGTTAGTGTAAAATTTATATTCTGTTGTAGGGTTTATTTTTCACTAAACAATACTAAAACCATGCTTTGTTCCAAGGGCTATGTGCTTTGTTTAGGAAAATGTTGCAGTGTTTCTTTCAGACAATTTGTTGGGGGGGGGGGGGATCATTTCAGATCGGCAGTACCAGTGGGCAGGCAGCCTATCCCCGGGGGAGTGTTAGTTTTTCATTTTATGGAGGGCGGCATTTTAGACCTCTTACTAACATCCTGTGTGTTTTTAAAGATGCCAACACTATCATTTTGATTAGGGTATGCAAGCAGAAAGTGAGGTCATGGACAGCTACAGAAAGGCAAATGGGGAGGGTTGAACATTTTAAATTCAGTTTGTCATATATCGGTACCTGAATTCAGTGTTTCTTTCAGGAAAAATGATCCAGGGAGGGGACATTTCAAGTTGACAGGGCATCGATCAATGGGCAAATTAGAATTCAGGCACCTTATGTGATACATAATTTAAATTCTCAAATTCTCCCAGGTTAAGACATATCATAGGGTATTCTTTTGGCCCCAAATAAATTAGCGCCCCCCCCCCCTTCCCCCATATCTCATTGATCAGAATGGGGGAGGGGGTAAAGCAGCATTCGAGGGTGTCCAAGGCTCCTGTCCGAGTGTAAGGTGGAATGGGAAAATTAGAATTCAGGCACCTTATGTGATACATAATTTAAATTTTCAAATTCTCCCAGGTTAAGACATATCATAGGGGATTCTTTTGGCCCCAAATAAATTAGCGCCCCCCCCCCCCCTTCCCCCATATCTCATTGATCAGAATGGGGGAGGGGGTAAAGCAGCATTCGAGGGTGTCCAAGGCTCCTGTCCGAGTGTAAGGTGAGGGGCTGGGAGGGGGTCATTGAGTCTTCAACAGAAAAGTTTTAAATTAAAAATGTACGGATTCATTTTAGCTCATACCTAAATTTAGTTGTTTTTTTCTTTCCTCATTTAATGAAAAAGCAACAAAATTTAGTTTTCTCTCAACCTTGTTGTGTTCATACAAATGCTGTATTTTAAGTTGTCTTTCTAATGTTTTTTATTTACTGTAACGATTTCTTTCTTTAAACGGCTTCATAGATAAATACAATTAAAAAAAAAAAATATACATATGAAGAGTCTATTTTCATTCGCTTGAATGATGAAATGATTTGTCTTTTTCTAGTGTTGAGCTTTTTTTTCTTTCTTTTTTGAGATTTTATAGTGCAAACAACTCTTTCATCCAGGCCGTCGTTATGCACCGTGTTTGTTGTTGTTTCACGGCGTGATGTTTAGTGCGCATGCGCAGAATAGCTTGCCAATCACACGGATTGGTCCGAAAATATATACAGCATTTTGATAATTAAAAAGAAAAATTCACACCGCGTTTTGAAAATAAAATCGTTTTTAGACATAGAATAATATAGTATTAAAATGTGTTTTGTAGATAAACTTTAACATGTCCTAAAGCAGCGGTTCTCAACCTGTGGGTCGCGACCCTTTCATGGGGGTAGCCTAAGACCATTGGAAAACGCACATTTCTGATGGTCTTAGAAAACGATTGATTTGGTCCGGCTAACAAACCAGATATGTCATAACTTTTCATTATGGAATGGAGACGAATTTGTTACAAAACTGAGTGCAATTTCCTTATCTAACGACACTGTCCACAGAAGAATAGAGGACATTTCTGTTGATATTCTTGATTAGGTAATCCAGGAAATTTAATCTACTCCATTTCCGAAACAATAGCAAATGCTTCAAAGCGCCTCAGGGCAACACAGTGCAGTATAAACAGTCTTTCTTCCCACGCACAATAATAGCATGGAACCACCTGGACAATGCCACTGAGAACTCGACATCGGTTGAAAGCTTCAAGGCTGCCCTGGCCTCTTATTAGGAGCTGTTAGAATAGCAACATCATACCCCAACCGTTGCACAGATGCCAGTACATGGATGCAGCAAAGAAACACTACCAGAACCAGTGAGATGGTTGTAGAAAAGAAAAATATTAAAACATGTTTTTGAGCTTCATAATGAACTCAAAACTTTTTAAATCAGAAAGCAAGACCGCAGTTCAAAGCTCTTTTTAGTGATAAAAGTGAACTGCAGAAAAAGCCTACTTCGTTGACATCTTTACCATCTTGAATGAGGTAAATTTATCACTGCAAGGACCAAACGCAACATCCCTCGATTTGTCACAAAAGATGCTATCATTTAATTTTTAATTTCAGCTTTGGCAAAAAAATTGGATGACAATAAAATGTACATGTTGCCTGTCTTATCTGGTTTCATGACATTGAACCAGACAAAGTGATTACTATGATATATTCTGTAAAGGAACACTTGCACATGCTTACAGACGAAGTTTCAGGGTAATTTCGAAATCTACCTAATTGCCAGAAGTCCATTCACAGTCAAATTTGAAGATGTTCCAGAGTCAACACAAGAGGAGTTCATTGAACTTATTAACAGCGATGCAGCGAAAGCTGATTTCTCTACAATGCCAGTTTCAAAATTCTAGATCAAATTTTTGCTGTCATACCATGTTCTGTCTGAGACTGTGTTGTGCTTTCCTCTTCCTTTCCAACAACATATCTTTGTGAAACATGGCTCTCCAGCTTGTTGGTAATCAAGTCTAAATGTAGACTTGTTGTGGAAGATGATCTTCGTTGTGCTCTTGAAAATGCTGGTAAGAAAGAAACAATCTCAACCTTCGCACTGACGTTGGATTTTTACGTTTACTGTCTCAAAATGTAGCAAAGTAGTTTACTGTTGTTATATTAAGACTGTTACCAATGCTACACCATGCTTCAAGACAAATTTTCATTTCAGAAATAAATATTTCACAATATATTTTTTGTGTGTGATTAATCACTATGCTTTAAGTATGTTCAATTTATAACATTGAAAATACATCCTGCATATCAGATATTTACATTAAGATTCAGAGCAGAAGCAAAATTACAGTTATGAAGTAGCAAAGAAAATAATTTTATGTTTGGGGGTCGCCACAACATGAGGATCTGTATAAAGGGGTCACAGCATTAGAAAGGTTGAGAACCACTGTCCTAAAAGAACCTGGTTTGCTCTACAAGAATGTACAGTTATCTCATTTTTTTCAAAATGGGGATACCGCGTTTTGAAAATCAACTCTTCATATATGTGTATGGCATCTTTCCGTCTTTGTGAGAAGGTGGAGTAGCTATTGACACTTCATCAAATGGCTTTTGAGGCCTGTCCTGGAGTGGCAGTCTCTGCTGCATTTATCGCAGGAGAACCTTGACTCCTGGTTAAATTTGGCCTTCTGCAATGCTCTTTCGGTTGCAATTGCTTTGTTTCAACCATCTTCTGTCTTTTGACTCCTTCATACACTGCTGTTTGTCAGCTGGAATGGTGCTCAGTGATGATCTCCCATTCATCGATTTCCATGCTGGCTTCCCTCATGCTCATTTTGCAAACATCCTTAAATCGCAGCTGCAGCCATCCATTAAGTCTTCTGCTAAATCTCCATTCAACATTTCCTTTGGAATACAGCCTTCCTCCATTCTCCTTACATGGCCTAACCAGCAAAGTCGCCTCTTGCCAAGAGCAGAGAATATGCTACAAATTGTTGCATGTTCCAAGATCTCTGTGTTAGTCACCTTGTCCTATGTTGTTCGTCCGTCGAGGATCGACGATGACCATCGAGTCGTCCGGTGACTGATGACTTGCGCTAGTGACTTTTGTTTAAAGTGAGGAAGAGTTGCGCGGCGTCAACCTCACTCTCTCGTCCGGGCCCACCATATCCGGTGGCAAGACTCTACGTTAAGACGACCAGGGATGGGCACGGTTGCAGGAATTGTCATTGTATGCGCCTTACGGGACTCCAACTCCGGGTTTGAATTCAGAGTTTCCTTCTCTTAGATGAGTTGCCGACCAAGGTTAACGAGTCCCATCCACCCGGGGTGATCTTTTTGCTTGACCGGCCTTTGGCTGGAATTGAGGTTTGCTCAGTTTAGACCATTCGGCCACCCAGTCACCTTGTCCTACCATTGCATGCACATAATGGGATGCGGATATCTTTGGTGGAAGCTGTTGAATTTCTGCTCATGACTGGCGTATGTGGTCCACACTTTCCTTCCATATCGGAGCGAACTAAGCACACATGCCTGATTTAGGCTTAGGTTTGTACTTTCAGTTAGTTTAAGATTTATCCACACCTGCTTTTGCGATCCTAATGTTCACCTCTTTGTCATTGGAGAGTGAGCAAGAGATATTTGATCCGAGGTATGTAAAATGCTCAAGTATCGGCAGATTATAAATAGTTATGTTTGGAATGGATGGTTTTTCTTCCATCATGACATTTGTTTTCTGTAGACTAATGGTCAGTCCAAAATCTTTACAAATATATTTCCATATAAAAAGGGGCCCATCAGAAAAAGGAATTATACTAATTACCGTCCTAAAGGTATATGCTAAGTTTTACCAGTACTAAATGACAGCTTTTAGAAATTGTTAATAACTGGCAAAAATTATACTTATTATATTTTTAAAACATGATGACACTGTACCGTTAACACCCTTTCCTAGATTAAAAGTTTATCTTAGATTGTAAAGTATAGAAAGTGAAAAGATATTGCCCATGTTTAATGTTTAGCAAGAACTAATCTCAAAATATAGCAATGAAAAGTGAGTTTAATTCTGTATTGTTCCGAGTAGAGGTCGCACTTCCCCCCATACTGTAATTCTTTAATCTAGGTATGTTGCACAAAAAGTTTTAAATAAAAATTATACCAGTTTAAAAAATAATATAAAAAATCAAAAGTATAGAGCACAGTGATTATTCATTGGTTCCCCCATTTCCTTCATTTTATTAGATTAAAGGTACCATTTCAAACCTTTTAAAAATGTAAAAAGGACAATTTCATCATTGATTTTTTTTAGAAATCATATTTTCCTTTATTCTTTAAACCTTTTTTGCTGCGGTTGGGTGATATTGAATTGCTTTGGGGAGTGGTGGACAGTCCCCACCTCTACCGGAGAGATGCCTTAGCGAAACACTGGTTGTAAACAGTAAATATATAAAAGTACCACCAGGACTATATGTGAACTACAGGAAGTAGTGGCACAGCTTAAACTTTAAAAAATTGGAAGATGCCTATTTTTTGGGAAAAAATATGCTCTTTAGAATTGAATGCTTTATCTAGAATTGCCTTAAATATTCATATCATCAAATATATGGATTGTATAAATATTTCATTGATTGCAATATTTCACTTATTTTAATTAAAAGAGTTATACACATTTTTCTCTCTGGGGCAGTGCCCCACCCCCCACCCCCATTCCCCTGAAAGATGCCTGAAAGAAACACTGAAATGTTGTGGACATAATTAATTTAATTATGCATGTTTTGTAGGTATCATCACAATAGCTTCTCACAGCAAAAGTATTTAAAATACTTATCAACGAGTTAATTAATAAAAAGATAAATCTTTAGTTACTTTCAATGAAAATTTCTCCAAAGAAATTTTGTTTGTAAAGGAAACAAGAATTACGGTATGAATGACTTTTATGAAATTAATTATTTGTTCCCATAGGGCGTTGTCATTTTATAAAGGTATTTTGCCACCGCTGTTGGCTGAAACACCCAAGAGAGCTGTCAAATTCTTCACATTTGAGCGCTACAAAACCTTGTTTACCCAGGGTGACTACTTGTCTCAGCCTATTGTAAGATAATATCATCACTGTTTTGTCACTGTAAGGATGGTATCATTTTCAGTGGTTTATCAAATTGCAAAATACATGTCAGCTTGGAGAATGTCAATTAAATTTTTTTAGATCTTTAAAAGTCTATTGATATAAAAAATAATTTGTGTTTAAATTAAACACTTGTGGTAAAAAATATCTGAAAACAGAACAAAATATTTTAACATCAATATATATTTTAAACTAGCTCTCCTTTCTAAAGAACATTATAAGACCATTATTTAAAAATATAAATTCAAAACTATTCCTTTGACAAGACAGAACACTGGTGAGTTTAGTCAAGTGTCTTGGTGCAATGGCAGCAATGCTTATGTCAATATTACTATAGTCTTTATAATATTAAATGTATACAATTTGTACTGATACATACCAGCGTCAGCAAGTAGGCCTTGTTAGCTATGTAGAACAATATACCACAAATTTAATTTGTACAAGTGATCAGATTGATAAGTTTATCTACATATGCTTTATTGTCATTGGAAAGGTTTTGGCTCTTGCTGGCCTGGCAGCTGGTTTAACTGAAGCAGTGGTCATAAACCCATTTGAAGTGGTCAAGGTCAAATTGCAAGCAGAGAGGAGCAAGTTCACTGAGGTGATTTTACCTAAATACTTCATTCAGTTCCCTCAAAAGTTTTACAAGCTATGTTATAATTGTAAAGAAAACACAGGAAATTAATAAATGCAGAAGGTGTTGGCAAATTTTAAAATAAACAGTTTGAAGGTATTTTTAGATATTGCAATAAATTATAATATTTTTCTGAATAATTTTACAACGGCTTCATCGGCTGAACATCGCCATATGTGTTACATATCTGTAACTGGAACATCACCTTATATATTACATATCTGTTACTGGAACATCACCATATATGTTACATATCTGTTACTGGAACATCACCATATATGTTACCTATATCTGTTACTGGAACATCACCATATGTTACCTATATCTGTTACTGGAACATCACCTTATATATTACATATCTGTTACTGGAACATCACCATATGTTACCTATATCTGTTACTGGAGCATCACCATATATGTTACATATCTGTTACTGGAACATCACCATATATGTTACATATATCTGTTACTGGAACATCGCCATAAATGTTACATATATCTGTTACTGGAACATCACCGTATATGTTACATATCTGTTACTGAAACATCACTGTTTCCAATTTTGATTTTTGTCTATTCCAGCAATCTGGAACTATTAAAACAGCCAGAGAAATAGTAGCTAAAGATGGCTTTGGGCTGAAAGGTTTAAATAAAGGACTCACTGCTACACTTGGTCGACATGGGGTCTTCAACATGGTGTACTTTGGCTTCTACCACAATGTCAAAGGACTTATACCAGAGTACAAGGTCAGATGGGATACATTGGCATAGACCAAACAATAGAATAATGTATAAATAACTTTACAATGTTTATTTTTTATACAGTATCAAGATCAGAGGGTGCATTGTGCTAAAATATTTTGTTTGGATCTGTTTTAGGATCCAACCAAAGACTTTTTCAGAAGATTCCTCATTGGTCTGGTGGCTGGAACTCTCTCCTCTATTGTGAATATACCATTTGATGTGGTCAAGAGTAGAATTCAAGGACCCCAACCAGTACCTGGGTCCATTAAGTATAAGAGCTGCTTCCAGACCATGTCTCTAGTCTATAGAGAGGAGGGGTAACATTTTTTCACTATTTATAAGAATTTCTAAGCAATGTTTTGAACAGTAGCTGATTCAGTAATATAGAAATAAAGGGTCAACATGTTTTGAACAGTAGCTGATTCAGTAATATAGAAATAAAGGGTCAACATGTTTTGAACAGTAGCTGATTCAGTAATATAGAAATAAAGGGTCAACATGTATTGAACAGTAGCTGATTCAGTAATATAGAAATAAAGGGTCAACATGTTTTGAACAGTAGCTGATTCAGTAATATAGAAATAAAGGGTCAACATGTTTTGAACAGTAGCTAATTCAGTAATATAGAAATAAAGGATCAACATGTTTTTAAAATATTTACTCAAATACTTCCAAAAATCTTGGGGTGGAACCATTACAATTTTTCTGTCCTTCATACTCAATCATAATTAAGTTAATAGAAAGCCTTTATCATCTTATTTTTTCAGGTTTTTTGCGTTGTATAAAGGATTGTTGCCAAAAGTACTTCGTCTGGGTCCAGGTAGGATGTTGTTTTTATATTGAAACTTATGAAAGTTCGTTAAAAAAAATTAACAATGTAGCTGTTTTGTTGTTTGCTGTTTTGATGATTGCTGTGATGCATGTTAAAACTTTGAAACCTTTAAGCAGCCACAAGTCACTCAAATCTTTGTAACAGCTTATCTTGTGATCTGCTCATGAGGCTTACAATAATTAGTATGATTCAAACTCCTTCTGTCACTCAATTTTTCTCTTTTGATCGGCTACTTCCAGTACTCCATGTTTATTTCACTCAAAATGTTTTTGTCTGTCACACTGTTTTTGTCTGTCACACTGTTTTTGCCTTCCTTGTTAAGATAACCCATGGTGAAATGTCTCAGGTTGTTACACTATGAGCCTGGATGTCACAGAGTAACATCAGATTTGATATTAGCTATAAGTAGATCACAATACCTACTATGAGCTTGGATGTCACTGAGTAACATCAGATTTGATATTAGCTATAAGTAGATCACAATACCTACTATGAGCTTGGATGTCACTGAGTAACATCAGATTTGATATTAGCTATAAGTAGATCACAATACCTACTATGAGCTTGGATGTCACTGAGTAACATCAGATTTGATATTAGCTATAAGTAGATCACAGTACCTTGAAGTTGGAACAAATCACAAAAAACGAAAGTATTGTGACTGCCAACAATTTAAATTGTAAACCTTATGCTATTCATATTGCATGCTAAATTATTTTAACATGTGATTTATCAAATGTGATTTGTATCCTTTCTTACCAGGTGGTGCTATCATGCTTATTGTTTATGAGTATGTATTTGAGTTCCTTCAGAAGTCCATGTAAAAAACCTGGGATTAAAACAACTCAGAGACCATTGTTGCAATAAACAGATTCCAGTATTGTTATATTTTTGTAACTGCCATTTACACCACTATTTGCCTTTATTTTGATATTTTACTGGGAAAATAATATTTTTAACAAATACCTTATTTTTAAATATTTGTTGTTATAGTATCTGAATAATATATATTTATACATACTTGTTCATATTTGAATACATGATCTACAAAATCATCCTGGCCAAAAACTTAAAGGAGATCCCTAGACTAAAGTAATCATTAACAAGTGTAGTTCAATGCATCACTTAATATCTAAAAATTGTAAGAAAACGTTGCAAACCTCTTGCGAATTTAGGACTTTTATTTGGTAGTTTAAGAGGGATACGTGTCTTACTAATATAGTTAATTTATCAAGAAGCCTTTGCACAATTTCCATAAATAGCATAATAATATAGATCTATAAAGATTGTGTTACCTGTGTTGTTAATGTTACATTATTCAATCTGTCATAGTAGTCTCTCAGAGCCGGTGCTCTATGTAGGCTTTGAAAACATGTGCTGCTGATAAACATGTCTCATCCAATACAGCAGTGGTTCGGCGTTCAACCTGATTAATCAAATTAGCTGTACAAGTTAAACCAGATCCCGAATGTATTGGTTGAGCTAGTTAATGAACAAAAATAAAGTTGCATCACATGAACCTTGATCTTTTTGAAACAAAAATGCCTTGTTTCAGAAACTACGTTTATGTAAATTTCAATACTACTTTCAGAGAAACTGACAGGTTACAGTGTTTTTTTTTTCATGCTTTAATTCATGTGGGTTTCAATGATAAACAACGAAAAAGGTTGATAAAAAAATCTGTTGAATAATGTGTTCTTGAAGTGCCTACTGTATTGGTTCACACAAATGAATGTGAAGAGAATCATTTGGTGAGTAGAATTTTTGTTAATGTTATCTGTTTCAATCCAACTGGTGTGATGTGTTCTGTTCAGTACACATTGTATCTAAATATGAATCTGTGTTGTGTTATTTCAGGGTTTAAGTTATAAATTCCTTGCATTCAAAAGCAGTTTTTGTAGCTTACAAATTAAACCATATTCATTTCATTTGGTATCTCATTAAAGTGCCAAATGGTTTCTATTGCTCAATGTTTTACTGCATAAAATATTTATCTGCATATTTCTTTACTAATTTTCCCATAGGCAGCTTCAGTAGGTCAACAAATTGTTCTATTTATAATAAAATTTATAAATTATATTGCTTTTTCAAAATACTATTTTTAAAATATTATTTATTTTCTTTAAAAAATTATAAAGATGTTGAGTCTAGAAATTTCAGTGTATTCATAATTTAGATGTGGAATGGATGGAGGCGCCGCCCCGCCCCCTTACACCCCCCGCCCTCGTTCACTAAGTCTTATACTTTTGTAAAATAATATTAAATCAACCACTGTCGTGTCCAAATGAATTTTTTTTTTTCTCCCAAAAACATGTTCATGTGGCCTTATTCATTCTTCTTGTTAACAAATTATGAGTGTAAATAAAACGATCTATGTTAAGCTTTAATAATGATTATACAAAAGATACATTTTTTAATACTAACTTTTTGAAATTAGAAATGAAAAAAATATGATTTTCATCATTAAATAACAATTGTTAACACAATGATATAATTTTCATCATTGGGTTATAAAATAAAGGTGTAGAGATAAAATAATTAAGTACCGGTATCTATTAAGGGTGCATAATTCACTTTGTACTTTGTGTAAAAGGTGTTCACTACTTGGCTGTTGATTTGTGGATTGGTAAACACTCTAAGGTGTGGAGTAGTCTGCAATAATTGGGGCTAAATGATCGGTCATATGTTTAAGGTTAATTTTACAAGAATTAAACTGCAATTGGTGTGAAGAATTTTCTGGTTTGTTTTACACATTTTTGTCCTGTATAAGGAAATTGACAAGATCAGATCTGACCACACAAACAGTAATATCGCTGAAGAGGGTCCTCTGTTGTAAAGTTATATGTGCATAAAGTAACTAGGCACTGTATGGTTCCTAAAGATTATAAGTGTTGCTGATTGAGAACTAGTGTTTTGAGACTTGATTTTATTGAACTTATACTTATATAAACATTCTGTTGAGGTGGAAATGCTATGAATTGGTTGTTGGATAAAACTGGTGAATAAAACTGGTATTTTTAAGTGCAAGATGTGTCTGTTCACTTTGTGTTGTCATTTTTACAAATGTGTTGTCTTCATTATATTTTGATTCGTCATTTTATTTTTAATATTAGTTTTTAAATAATCTTTAAAACTTAAATGATTCTGTGATCTTTTTTTCCAAAGCTCATAATAATTTTTTTTTAGCAATTTACATGTGAAGTTGATTCAAATTCTAACAACATCCTGTTGCAGAGGATAATAATTAAAGTTAGGATTCCATATGGTCACATCCATCTGTAATACTGATGAAAATGTCAACATTTATTACAGTATAAATCTCTACCAAACTGTTTATATCTGACCCAAAGAGTTTGATTGTGGAGTCAAACTAGCATTCTATTTAAACTTCCGGTTAGATGGGATTAGTGTACATGTTTTTTTTATGAGGAATATTTCTTTGACTATTACATTATTAGTCAAGTAAATCCTCAACAAACCCCTAGTGCATGATTTCCTCATCAACACCAGTAACAGAAACATTGCAAATCCCATCTGCATGCATAGGAGCCAAAATGATCAATAAATTGATCGTGGGCCCTTAAGATATAGAAGAAGAAGAAATACACAATGGTTTTGAATGGACAGTCCTTGCACTATCTTATTTAATAAGTATAGCCCATTTGCTACTGTGTCTGCAAGTGCAAGTGAAAATTGAGTTGCAATATTTTCTATCAATACTTTTAACTTTAAGGCATAATCAATAGGAATGCATTTAATTTTAGTTAAAATTATTGTCTTAAAATAAAAAAATTTAAACACAGATTTCTTTTCTTTAAAGAAATGGCTCAGCTTGAAATTTTGTGATATGCAGAACAAGTGAATATTTTTTTCGCTTAACCAATTCTCCATAAAAACTCAATTTAAAACACAATTGCACCATGTACTCTCATTATGTCATCCCTTATATAGCCATTTCTTTTTTTAGACATCTGAATCAAGCATTACAATAATGTGAATAAAAACTAAAACATAATACTATAGACATAGTATGAGTTAGATTTGACTCATTTTATTTCTGTGTCCCATGTTAATGTTTTTAAAAGTCTGTTTACAACTCATCTTATCTGTCAAATATTCAAATGTATGTTAAGCACCTTCATTTTATGATGTTGTTATGACATTGGCATGGTAGGGATGTGTTTATGGTCTCGAGCGGGCTGTGGAGGAACAAAGTTTGAGAACCACTGCGATAGATCTAACATTAAATAAATGCTGGAGTAGGCATAATTTGCTATTTATTAGAAAATGTTTACTTGCTTTCAACAAAAGGAAAATAGATGTAGAGATATATATATCTAAAGCCATTTTTTTAATGATATAAAGCTATTTCATAATGAATGTCATGCATTGATCAAGTAGTTGTTAAGAAAAAAGTGGGGGCACGATACAAAAATGAAATGTTTTACATTGCCTTTTAAACCATTTGAGTCATTGCCTCCTGGGTTTCACCCCGTCATCAAGATACTTTTAAACCATTCATTGCCTCCTGGGTTCTCCCCGCCCATCTAGATACTTTTAAACCATTCATTGCCTCCTGGGTTCTCCCCGCCTCCTGGGTTCTCCCCGCCCATCAAGATACTTTTAAACCATTCATTGCCTCCTGGGTTCTCCCCGCCCATCTAGATACTTTTAAACCATTCATTGCCTCCTGGGTTCACACCGGTCATCTAGATACTTTTAAACCATTCATTGCCTCCTGGTTCCTCCCCGTCAACTTAAATACTTTTAAACCATTTTTGCCTCCTGGGTTCACCCCGGTCATCTAAATACTTTTCAACCAGTCATTGCCTCCTGGGTTCACACCGGTCATCTAGATACTTTTAAACCATTCATTGCCTCCTGGGTTCTCCCCGCCCATCTAGATACTTTTAAACCATTTATGCCTCCTGGGTTCACCCCGGTCATCTAGATACTTTTAAACCAGTCATTGCCTCCTGGGTTCACCCCGGTCATCTAGCTACTTTTAAACCAGTCATTGCCTCCTGGGTTCACACCGGTCATCTAGATACTTTTAAACCATTCATTGCCTCCTGGGTTCTCCCCGCCCATCTAGATACTTTTAAACCATTTATACCTCCTGGGTTCACCCCGGTCATCTAGATACTTTTAAACCATTCATTGCCTCCTGGGTTCACACCGGTCATCTAGATACTTTTAAACCATTCATTGCCTCCTGGGTTCACACCGGTCATCTAGATACTTTTAAACCATTTATGCCTCCTGGGTTCACACCGGTCATCTAGATACTTTTAAACCAGTCATTGCCTCCTGGGTTCACACCTGTCATCTAGATACTTTTAAACCAGTCATTGCCTCCTGGGTTCACACCAGTCATCTAGATACTTTTAAACCAGTCATTGACCATTGCCTCCTGGGTTCACACCAGTCATCTAGATACTTTTAATATAATAGACTATACAAGCGTCGTGAATATGAATACTACCAGAACCTAAAATATATGTATGATTTATATCATTATTTGAATTACGATTGGTTACTAATGAATCATGTTACTGTTATTTGGAATGGGACTGAATATATTTTAAAAAATTTAAGGGTTAATATTAAATTTTGTTTTCATGTTAGACACGGTGGGGTTTTTTGGTCGCTCTTTAATTTGAAGTCTAGACTTGGTCAGTTGTTTACAATCAGGTCTTAGAAACCTTATTTCTCGTTTATAAAACTCAAAGACAAAAGCTTAATAAAACTATATATTTTTGTTATTTAAGTATATTATTTAGCCGCAGTTTATCAAATTAGTAAAATATATCATGACTTTCAATAGATTTTGTAAAGAATTAATCAAAGAGTTATCTGGCCAGGAAATATCATCAGCTCTTAGTCCGCGAGTCAGACGTCTGCTGTGCCAAACGAGCGAAGCGGGCGACTTATGTCTGCCTGTTGAAAATAAAGTGCCTCGAATTAATTCGACTGACGGATTTGGGGTTAAATGTATATCAGATTCTATTTTAGAAAATATACTTATATCAGAAACTTTAGAGGTGATAAATGAAAATGACCAACAACTTGACATTAGCAATAATAGGAAAGTTTGCCCTTGTGAGTTGCTCAAAAATACTAATAATAGCCATGGCCAGATTAGTGAAAGTGGGAAACATTTATTTTTGAGTGTTGCCACTATTAGTATTACCCCAGAAAAATATGGTAGCATAATCTTTTTCAAGATTCAGAAATGTGCATCTTCTGGTAAGTCACTAACTACGGTACACACTGTACTGTTATATTATTATTTATTAATTTAGGCCAAATAGATCACACACATAGACACAATGAGTGGGTTACAGCAGAATTCCCAGTAGATAAATGATGGATGAAAATATTTAAGCAATTTGCAAAACATGTTCCTTGTGATAATGGAAATTTGCATTATGTCAATTATGTCTCCAGGGACAAATGCTCACACTCACACTGAAAGAGTCTTTTCTCTGATAAATCACATGTGGCCACCAGATAAATAGCAACTCAAAGTAATAGTTGATACTGAAACGTATGCTGATTGTCAAATGCAATTTCAGTGATTCATGTGACTGTGACAATTTTTTATATGTTATTGAAAAATCCTGACATCCTGAGAGCTATCCACTCATCTCAGAAATAATAGTTTGTCATGATTATTATATTAATGATGACAGTTGATCCATTGTCCATTGTATTTCTGACATACGCCGGTTGTGTCAATTTCTTTATATTTTTTAACAACATGTCAGTTGTTAGTACCAGTAGTTAGTTTCTCACTGACAAGCTGTTTTTCCTTTTATGAACCTTTAAAAAATGAGATGTGCACTCTCAGACTTAGAAATTATTAACAAATTCCTCACTAAACAATTGTGTTACTTTTCTGCGTATTGTTCACAAAAATTTCACCCGTGATTTCTGATTAACACAGCGTAATGTTTCAGTACATCCATAATATCCAGTATGCTATAGTGTACCGGTACACTAAAGAATTTTTTCTTAGCTTTCAGTAAAGCGTGTTTTTCAGTCAATTTTCATGAATCTTTTTTGGCTTTGGCACCATGGGCTTCCCTCCCACCACAAATTCCCCTGGGTCCCAGGTAAACCTTAAAAAATCTGGTCACTGTACTTTAGAGACACAATTTTACTGATAGGTTATTTCGATACTATTGATCTGTAAATTAATAGATGACTAGCAATTCTGCCTCAAGCCTCATGACTAGCAATTCCACCTCGAGCCCCTTGTAACTTGGTTGTCCTTACAGAGATATAGTTTAGTTACCCATTTTTAGTTTTAAAAGGGCACACAGGACATTTTTTAATTTTAAATATAAGGGTTCAGTTTATACATAATGCCATAGTTTAAATTGTCTAAAAAGATACATGTGGCATTTAATTAATTTTTGATGCCTTAACAAAAAAAATGATAAAAATAGTTTAATTGTGAATCATAACTTGTCAAAAGCATTGCACATAGAAATGATTTGTTTCTTCATCTTGCATCAAATTTTTAAATGTTCCATATCCCAATTTTTTTTTAAGCTAAAAACTATAAAATTTAAATAAAAAGAACTCACAAACATAAAACTTACAATTCTTACATTTGTAGTAGGCCATATTAATTAAATGCATGTTAATCAACTATCAGAAAGTTTGAAATATTGTTCAAAGAATTAATAAAAATACTGGTAGTTTATATAATTAATTAAGCTCAATTGCTAGAATATATTTCTTTCATAAAATTTCAGTTCTGCCTAAAAGAAATTCAAAGCTATGTTATAAAGAATCAGTCAGATTACTGGATCCAATTTTTAAGTTTACCGAACATTTTCTGGATAGTTTATCACCTGGTGATTTTTCTGACAAGTATGGAGCATTATTTGACTGGACAAAGAATCTAAAGGTGAAAGTTATCTAATTTTAAATTTTAAAATCTAACCATATATCAAGGGAGGAAATTATAATGTTATTCGAGAAATAAATATTTGAAATTAAATAAAATCTACAAAAAAAAATTAAACAAAGCGAGAAATTATAAATCAAGTAAGAATGACTTATAATAGAAAAAAATGCCAATCAAAAGATTTCCTTCACTTTAAAGAATTCATTTGTTTTTCAGTTGTTTATAATTTAAATAACATTAAAAAAAACCACACTTATATGTTCCAGTTATTTTGTGATTGTTTTGAACTTCTCACCCACAAAAGTGGATCTGATGACATCTTAGCTCTGCTGATGTTGTGTGGAGGATTAGAAAGAGCTCTGGGAAATGTAAGTAGATTTATTGGTTAAAAATTTAACACTGGCCACTCATTGAGTATGATAAATGAAGGACTGCGTTCAAGCTATGTGAAGCAAATAGTAGAACAAGGGCTTTGGAAGCTCGAAATAGAAAGACAGGACAATAAAGGGAGAACATTCGGATTGCTAATTGTGATGGTTTGTTTGTAAAAATCGTTTTTAAAAAATGTATTCTTACATTACTTTTTTCATGACCAGTCTTTACATTTTACATGGCTGCTTTAAAAAACTTTTATCTTTGATTGACAATTTTTATATGTTATTGAAAAATCCTGACATCCTGAGAGCTATCACATTTTACATGGCTGCTTTAAAAAACTTTTATCTTTGATTGCAAAAAAAAAAATTTAACATGTAATAAATATATATATTGTCAACTTTGTGAAAGGTTTATTTAACAAAAGCCAGCCCCTGTCCTACTTTGCTAAAGGACCTTCTGGCCACCCAAGAATTGGAAGATATCCTGAGTCCTTCTGCCGTAAGTGAATGTTTTTTTTAAAGTGACGTTAGCTACGTAACATGCCGTAATATATAGAGACTTAAGAATAAAACCTTCTTTCATTTATTAATTCTGATGTATGGGCCACAGATGCTAGTAGGAATAGTTTTTGGCTATACAAATACATAGATTGGGCTAAGAAGGCAGTCTGATATTTTTGTTGTATATAGAAACTAAATAATATAGCGGATGCGCACATTGAGCCTAAATGGGTAGATTATTAATGTCTCAAGATCTGAAAAAGTTTTCAAAATGCTTTTATTTTTTTTATTATTTCTATTTTAATATAGACTTATGGGCCTAATGTGGGTTTTAAGTATCTAAAAGAACTCAACTAATCCTTCTAGATAATGCTCCTTGAAGTTCTGATTGGTCCACCCAACTCAATGAACTTAAGAAATGTTGTTTGGCATGGATTCCTATCAGAGAATGAAATACCAAGAAGGTAATAAATCAGCAAAAAGTGCATTTATAGAAATTAAATGGATTCATTGACTTCTTTATTGACAGAAGTTTATAAAGATCTTTTCTGTCAAAGATAAAGTCTCTTGACACCACTTCCTGGAAGCAGAATATAACTATTATTACTTAAGCTTTCTTAAAGAAGTTTTGCATTTATAAACGAAGTGGCTATTCGTACCCGGGTACGAGAAGTGAGAGGTAGGGATTAAAAACTATTTAAAATATTATTGTTGGGTTTGTAAGACAAAATGAGGTATGAAATGAAAGATAATTGAATGGACTGTATGTTTGTAAACCTACTTCTTCAGTTTAACTAAAATAAACTACCACAAATGACATCCAAATGGGATTTAGTCTAAAGGGACCAGGGTCAGAATAGGGGACATGCGTAACCGGGTCCCTTAAGACTAAATCCCATTCGGATGTCATTTTAAATAGTTTTTAATCCCAACCCTCACTTCTGATACCCGGTTGCGTATGGTCGCAGTCTTCATAAGAGTCTGCTTCTTGATTTCACAGATACATCCATTTTCTACTGGTGATGGCTGCTAGCATAGGAAATCTACTGCTGGAGAAAAACATGAGTTCAAAAATGATGGAGAATAGATCCTATGTGACATTATCAAAGAGTGACACTATTGCAGCCCTGCTCGATGGTAGAGTACAATGTCTGTTCAAGGATGGGATTTTATTCAAACATTATTAAGAAAACTTTGCATCAAATGTATTTTTTTGCTGAATTTAAAGCTGTAGTGTTTATTTGCTATTGTCATGTATAGCTGTGGTGTTTATTTGCTGTTGTCATTGATAGCTGTATTGTTTATTTGCTGTTGTCATTTATAGCTGTATTGTTTATTTGCTGTTGTCATGTATAACTGTAGTGTTTATCTGCTGTTGTCATGTATAGCTGCATAATTATTGAACACATGATGTAATCATTAAACACATTACTGAATTATTAAACACACTATAGAATCATTAAACACTATATAACACACTACATAATTATTAAACACACTACATAATTACTAAAAACACTACATAATCATTAAACACATGACAGAATCATAAAAGACACTGCAGAATCATTAAAAACTATACAGAATCATTAAACACATTACAGAGTCATGCTTATTTTACTTTTGTAGACCTATCAGAGGATAAATTGACAGAGTTGGAGATGTGTGTGTTAAATAGTTGGATCAACACCAATAACAATAGCACAATAATCAAGTCTGTGTTCAGCTGTTACAAGCATAAACAGTGAGTTTCAACTTTGTCCAATCTAGAAATGTTGTCAGTTTTGCCTGTCAGTGGTGAGTTTTAGCTGTGTCCTCTGTTCAGATGTCAGTGGTGAGTTTTAGCTGTGTCCTCTGTTCAGATGTCAGTGGTGAGTTTTAGCTGGGTCCTCTGTTCAGATGTCAATGGTGAGTTTTAGCTGGGTCCTCTGTTCAGATGTCAGTGGTGAGTTTTAGCTGTGTCCTCTGTTCAGATGTCAATGGTGAGTTTTAGCTGGGTCCTCTGTTCAGATGTCAGTGGTGAGTTTTAGCTGTGTCCTCTGTTCAGATGTCAGTGGTGAGGTTTAGCTGGGTCCTCTGTTCAGATGTCAGTGGTGAGTTTTAGCTGTGTCCTCTGTTCAGATGTCAGTGGTGAGTTTTAGCTGTGTCCTCTGTTCAGATGTCAGTGGTGAGTTTTAGCTGTGTCCTCTGTTCAGATGTCAGTGGTGAGTTTTAGCTGGGTCCTCTGTTCAGATGTCAGTGGTGAGTTTTAGCTGGGTCCTCTGTTCAGATGTCAGTGGTGAGTTTTAGCTGGGTCCTCTGTTCAGATGTCAGTGGTGAGTTTTAGCTGGGTCCTCTGTTCAGATGTCAGTGGTGAGTTTTAGCTGGGTCCTCTGTTCAGATGTCAGTGGTGAGTTTTAGCTGGGTCCTCTGTTCAGATGTCAGTGGTGAGTTTTAGCTGGGTCCTCTGTTCAGATGTCAGTGGTGAGTTTTAGCTGGGTCCTCTGTTCAGATGTCAGTGGTGAGTTTTAGCTGGGTCCTCTGTTCAGATGTCAGTGGTGAGTTTTAGCTGGGTCCTCTGTTCAGATGTCAGTGGTGAGTTTTAGCTGGGTCCTCTGTTCAGATGTCAGTGGTGAGTTTTAGCTGGGTCCTCTGTTCAGATGTCAGTGGTGAGTTTTAGCTGGGTCCTCTGTTCAGATGTCAGTGGTGAGTTTTAGCTGGGTCCTCTGTTCAGATGTCAGTGGTGAGTTTTAGCTGGGTCCTCTGTTCAGATGTCAGTGGTGAGTTTTAGCTGGGTCCTCTGTTCAGATGTCAGTGGTGAGTTTTAGCTGGGTCCTCTGTTCAGATGTCAGTGGTGAGTTTTAGCTGGGTCCTCTGTTCAGATGTCAGTGGTGAGTTTTAGCTGGGTCCTCTGTTCAGATGTCAGTGGTGAGTTTTAGCTGGGTCCTCTGTTCAGATGTCAGTGGTGAGTTTTAGCTGGGTCCTCTGTTCAGATGACAGTGGTAAGTTTTAGCTGTGTCCTCTGTTCAGATGTCAGTGGTGAGTTTTAGCTGGGTTTGATTGATTGATTGAGATCCTTGATTGATTGATTACTTGTATAGCGCCAGAGACAGAAATTTGTGGTCAATGCACTCACTCACCGGAAGCCAGAGTAGATCTTTAAGATCTGGGGTAATGCGGTCAAATTTCTTCATCTGGGATACAATTTGTGCTGCAGTATTTTCTACCTTCAGGAGTCTTTGAATTTGGTTCTGAGGTAAACCCTACAAACAACATTACTGTTACAGTAATCTAATCTTGTTTGGATTAGAGGGACTGTGCAGATGGCAAAAGTGACTTCTAAGTTGCTTATGTCTATTGTACAGATATAATTGGTGAGTTGATTATTTACATTGATCTGATCTTAATAGTGAATTTTATCAATGTCCATCTTATTTTTATAATTGATTTTGATAAGCACAACCAATTCACATACAAGCATATTTAATGAACAAATTTGATGTTAAAATAGATTATGAACCATGTCATTAAACTAAATGTTGATGGACCATGTAATTACATTAATGTTGATGAACCATGTAATTACATTAATGTTGATGAACCATGTCCTGGTTCTGGTAATGTTTCGTTGCTGCATCCATGTACTGGCATCTTTGCAACGGTTGGGGATATAATGTTGCTATTCTAACAGCTCCTAGCTGATGCCAGGGCAGCCTTGAAGCTTTCAACCAATGTCGAGTTCAAAGTGGCATCGTTCAGGTGGTTCCATGCTATTATTGTGCATTTTGAAGAAAGATTGTTGATACTGCTCTGAGGCACTTTGAAGCATTTGCTATTGCTTCTGGTGTAATTGTTTATGGGAATGTCAGTGGTGAAGTCAGTTTTCAGTGAGCGTTTTGCTCTGATCATTTTACCCGGCTTCTGTAGGGTGAGGTATGTGCCTGCTGGGATGGCCGACACCAGTCCCATGACACTTTATATAAGAATATCAGGCAGAGTCCCTCTCGTCTGTCTTTAAGTGGGGGATGTCAAATCTTTTTAAGAGGCCAGTGACGAAGCCAGGAGTGGTGAATTTGTAGTCTAGAGCAATAAAACGCACCGCGTTACGTTGAATTCGCTCCATCGTGTCCACGTCTTGCTTAAGGTCTGGGTCCCAGATGATCGCACCATATTCCAGTAGTGGACGGACGAGTGCGAGATAGGCATTTTGTTTGCAGGAAGTTGGGCAGTGGCGCACATTTCTTCGGATGAAACCTAGCGTAGAGTTGGCTTTTTTTGAAATTTTGTTTATATGGGGTGACCATTTTAGGTTATTTGAGGAGAGAATTCCAAGGTATGGACTATTGGATACTTGTTGGAGGAATGACTCGTTTAGTGAGTAAATATGACTTGATGGTTTTTTTCTTGAGATTTACACTTAATGTTGATGAACCATGTAATTACATTAATGTTGATGAACCATACAATTACATTAATGTTGATGAACCATGTAATTACATTAATGTTGATGAACCATGTAATTACATTAATGTTAATGAACCATATAATTACACTAAATGTCTGTCTATGAATAATGAGAAAGTAACATACACTAAAAAATTCTTTCAGATTTGGTAGATGTGCAGTACAGTTGCTTCCTTTGATGGAACATGCGATGAGAAGACTTTTTGTGGCCGCCAACCATTGTCCAGATCGTCTTATCACTGCTGAGGTATTGTAGCTTACTGCTTCTAATAGAATCACTGCATCTGTGTGGAGGAAGATGTGGTAAAAACATTTATTTAAACTAGTTAGGTTTAACTATATTTTTTCACAGTCCTCAAGCTCTGTTGTTTAAATATTTAAGTTAATTTTTTTGAATATCTGTGTTTATCTCCACAGGCCACAACGCTGTACACAACATTTGAAGAGGTAAGGATGCATACCATGTCTGTAGTTTAATCTAAGGATGCATACCATGTCTGTAGTTTAATCTCAATGTCATGACAAACTCCATAGTTAGGAATTAATTAAAATCAGAGAATTAATAAAAGGAATGGGGGGGGGGGGTGTGTTAAATGTTAAAATTTAAATAAGATAACTTTGTCATGGTGATTGCTGAATTCCAATATTCACATATACAAAAGACTTCTCATGTCACATATAAAAGGCTTCTCATATCACACGTATCACTGGCTTATCACTGTTATCCTCATTTTTCCAAATCTAAACATAACCCTTATTATGTGTATGTATGTGACCTATCCTTTCTGTCTGATTTCTCTCCCCACACCCTCTTTCTTTTCTTTTCTTCTCTTTTCTTTCTTTTCATAATCTGGACATTGCATCTATGTACAACTAAAATTAATTTGTAGAGGAACATAAAATGTCTCCTCTCATTATTCAAGTATACACATGTGTAAACTCTACTTCACTCTTTCTTCTCGTTTGGGCACTAAAAAAATTTGTTTTGTTATAAATAAAGCATTGCAATGGCTTTTGATTTTTTTCCTGAACACAATGTCTCTGATATTATTGCAGTCAACTATGTCTGTATTAGACCATGAACTAAAGTCCTTTTATTTATAATGAACTACAAATACAAGAACAATCCATTTTTGTGTTGTTTCAGATATTAGATGACCAATTGCCAGATGGCAAAGAAAATGCCCTTGTCTCTGTCTTAGGAGAATCTTTCATGGTAACATAACACGTTTTGAAAATAAATTGATTGTAACATAGGTTATTTTAGTGGTAAAATCTTTAGGTCTTCAAAATTTTTAAAATGTTTATATTGAAGAAAAAATTTTAACAAAAAGAAAGTTTGTATAACCAATTGCTGTTTCTGTCACTAGGACCTGCTGCACGATGTCCTGATTTATCCCAGTGGTCCTAGAGCCCGTGATAAACTTGGCCACGGTGAAGCTGATTATGAAGCAGTGGCAAAATCTCTGCCACATGTTCTCTTGTTTGCATTGGGCCATCTGGCCCAAAAGGTGAAAATCACTTGCAACGTTTGCAGCTGTTTGAAAATAAATAATTAAACATTCATTTAAATATTTAATTTCAAGACTTTTCAAAATGTCAAATATGAGATTACATTTTTTTTTACATTTGTAACATGGAAACAATGATTTAAATATTGAATATGTTTGTAGGGGTCAGTGAATGTTGATGAACAGTTGTGTCCATTGGATGACTATAGGTCAATCTTTCACCCTGTCGCAGTACTTAAACAGAAGGTGAACTTTTGATTCTAATTTTGGTCAGCTGCACAATTCTCTGTTTTATTTTAACTAATTATGCAGTGATGCATGAATTAATGTGATATTTGACTGTTATATTTGGTTTATTTAAACTCATGCAGTGATACATGAATTAATTTTTATATTTGACTGTTATATATTTTGTTAATTTGAATTCATTTCATTCAGATCCAAGATTTGTCCAAAGTCTCAGAAGAAATGCCCTTTGATCAGTAAGTATTTCCAGATCTTTACCATGGTAAGCATTTCTTGGTCAAAGTCTTGTTATTTTAGATATTTTAGTTATTACTTGAAGATTTAAATGAACTTTCTTCAAGTTGTTCAACCTCAGTCATGTCACAAAAAAGTCATGTGACCAAAGTGTCACATTGAGACAAAGTGAGACATTTGATAATCCAGGTAAACAGGAAATATTTTTCTTTTGACATAAAACTGTCCATATTTTCAAATTTTCAAAAGTAATGAAAAAATACATTTTAAAAAATTCCCTTTTTTTCTTTCATATTTTAATTTAAATAAAGTAAAGTAAGAAGCTAATGCAACATTTTTTGTGTGTAGATTTCAGTGTTGTAAATATATAGTCAAGAAAAATAAATTAAGATATTTTTATTTACAATTGTGTTTAGGGATAAGCAAAGCCCAATTGATGTCTCAAGAGATGACAACCAAATTTTTATAGAAATCCAAGCTTCATTGGATATGTTTACTCAGAGCACCTCCATACAAGCCAGGGGACTGCACATTCCAGACTGGGAAATGTTTCTACAAATGTTAGTATGAACATTGTATATATTGTCACATTGGTTTATGGATGTATAAACATGGTATATTGCCACATTGGTTTATGGATGTATAAACATGGTATATTGTCACATTGGTTTATGGATGTATAAACATGGTATATTGCCACATTCGTTTATGGATGTATAAACATGGTATATTGTCACATTGGTTTATGGATGTATAAACATGGTATATTGTCACATTGGTTTATGGATGTATAAACATGGTATATTGTCACATTGGTTTATGGATGTATAAACATGGTATATTGTCACATTGGTTTATGGATGTATAAACATGGTATATTGCCACATTCGTTTATGGATGTATAAACATGGTATATTGTCACATTGGTTTATGGATGTATAAACATGGTATATTGTCACATTGGTTTATGGATGTATAAACATGGTATATTGTCACATTCGTTTATGGATGTATAAACATGGTATATTGCCACAATAGTTTATGAAAGCCACATGGTATATTGCTACATTAATTTATGAAAGTATAAACATGGTATATTGAGACATTAGATTATGGAAGTATAAACATGGTATATTGCCATATTAGTGTTTTATGTATACATGTGTTATATTGTCATACAAAGATGATATAATGATGCAGTGATATACATTTACGTAGGTTCACATTAACAGTTATGTGAATATAGTTAATGTTGGATGACAAACAAAAATTTGTCCAGTTGCCAAATTTGTCATACGACCAGGGTGGCAAACCTAGGGTGTGACAGGGGTGGCAAACCTAGGGTGTGACAGGGGTGGCAAACCTAGGGTGTGACAGGGGTGGCAAACCTAGGGTGTGACAGGGGGGGGGGCAAACCTAGGGTGTGCACTTAGCAGCATGCACTCAGAGCCCTCTCTGTCAGCACGTGGGCAAAGGTTACATTCATTGTGCAAAAGCATGCCATATCATCATTTACATTTTAGAAGCTGTTTGTGTCATTGAAACCTCTGTTATTGGATTACCCTACAATTTGTATTGTTAAAACGTCTGTTATTAGATTTCCTTACAATTTGTATCATGAAAACCTCTGTCATTGTCTTTTCCCTTCCCTTTGTATCATTGAAATCTCTGTTATTGTCTTTTTTCCTTTTAGACAAAAGATTTTAATGTTTTAATTGCTTAGTTCTAAACTGGAACCCCAGTATTCAGGTTCAGTTGCAGTGTTGGTACTTTGCAATAGTTTAGTGTCTTTTTGGTTGGAGTTTGGGAACTCTGTCTCTAAAAGGTTTACCATCAGTGTCATAGAACAAAGTAATGCAAGGAAACCATTCAAATGGATTAAATGGTCCATAAAACTTACATAAATCCAATCAACCACTTACACACACCTATATATTACATAATGTATATAGGTCAAGTACTTACATATGTAATTATAGCTTTTGTAAAACAATACCAATGGCGATCACTTAATTTTTTAACTAGCTTCTCTTTCTTGTCATATTTTCATTTGTCCTGTCTGCTGAGGAAGGCTCTTAGCCGAAACATTCTTATCTTTTTGTCCTGTCTTTGATTCAAGCTTCCACTTACCTTGTTCAACTATTTTTATCAATGCAGCTTTTCTATATACTATCTAATGCTTTTTTGTTTACAGCTAAACATTTTTACCATCATTTCTTTCACAGTTCGTTGCGGCCATTCCAACATCTTTATGAGGCGGTCAAATCTGTCATATCAAAAGTTAACATTAAAACATTACATCGATGGCATGTGAGTGTCATTCTTTATTAAATTCATAAAATCCAAAATATTTATGAAAGTATTTGTGTCTTCCAGTGTATGCTTTTGTGCGTTCACTCGGCTACTCTATTCACCTGACAGATTTGCTGGGTCATGTTGCTCAGTGTGCTGTAACATCCTCACAATATTATTTCTTTTCAAACATTATAAAATTCTTTATTATAACATTTTTTATTATAACATTTTTTATTATAAAATTTTTTATTATAACATTTTTATAATAACATTATTAATTATAACATACTTATGAGAAGTTTTAGATCTCAAAAGCAGAAATACACAATATTGTAAAGAAACAAAGGGAAGTAATTGATGTTAGTGATAGTTATTACTAGAGTTATAGTTTTAGTTTTTAGTGCAATGAATATTCAACAGCCCATTAGACAGACAGTTGGCAAAGTAACAGAGAGTGAGATTGTCAATCTCTTAGTGAGGATAATCACAGAGACAGACGTTTGTCTGAGTCAAACCAAGTCTGCCTTGCAGTTAAGACAAGAACAGTTTTTGCACAAGCAGCTAAGATCAAGACAACGAGACAACTTCAAGGCTCTTGTAGCATTGTAAGAGAAATGTCATGATGTCATCATGTCTGTGTGTGATAGGACTCTCAATTGTGTGTCAAATGTCATCATATTATTTTGTGATAGGACTCTCAATTTTGTGGCAAATGTAGGACTTTCAAGTTGGTGTCAAATGTCATCATATCTAATTTGGGATAGGACTCTCAATTGTGGGGCAAATGTCATCATATTATTTTGTGATATGACTCTAAATTGTGTGGCAAATGTAGGACTTTCAAGTTGGTGTCAAATGTCATCCAATCTAATTTGTGATAGGACTCTTAATTGTGTGTCAAATGTCATCATATTATTTTGTGATAGGACTCTCAATTGTGTGGCAAATGTAGGACTTTCAAGTTGGTGTCAAATGTCATCATATCTAATTTGTGATAGGACTCTCAATTGTGTGTCAAATGTCATCATATTATTTTGTGATAGGACTCTCAATTGTGTGGCAAATGTAGGACTTTCAAGTTGGTGTCAAATGTCATCATATCTAATTTGTGATAGGACTCTCAATTATGTGGCAAATGTCATCATATTATTTTGTGATAGGACTCTCAATTGTGTGTCAAATGTCATATAAAATAAATGTTCTCATTTTCTCAAATTTTAGTTATCCCTCATTCTTGACATGCAGGATATGTCATATCAGAACTCACCACTCTGTGAGATGTATAATGTGCTATGTCATTACAAATGTTTGACACTAGTAATGTGTCATGTCAAAACTCAGCCATATGTCACTTGGTGACATGATTGATGTGTCATGTCAGAATTTGCCTGTATGTCACTTGTGTGACATGTTGGATGTGTCTAGTCTGAACTCAGCCATATGTCACTTGGTGACATGATTGATGTGTCATGTCAGAATTCGCCTGTATGTCACTTGTGTGACATGTTTGATGTGTCTAGTCTGAACTCACACATATGTCACTTGGTGACATGATTGATGTATCTAGTCTGAACTCACACATATGTCACTTGGTGACATGATTGATGTGTCTAGTCTGAACTCACACATATGTCACTTGGTGACATGATTGATGTGTCTAGTCTGAACTCACACGTATGTCACTTGGTGACATGTTTGATGTGTCATGTCAGAACTTAGCAATATGTCACTTGGTGACATGATTGATGTGATTACAAATTGAACATTTTTATTTATTACAACGGAAAACAAATAGTCTGTACTCTTTGATAAACTCTGGGAATTCCTGCGCATGTCCCTGTACACCATTTCCTATCATATGTCCCTGTACACCATTGCCTATCATTTGTCCCTGTACACCATTGCATTTCATATGTCCCTATACACCATTGCCTATCATATGTCCCTGTACACCATTGCCTTTCATATGTCCCTGTACACCATTTCCTATCATATTCCCATGTACACCTGTAACGGACTATGTTTTCACATGTAAACAGAGAGGTAGCATGAGTGGACAGTGAGTGTGTTCACCAGGTTTTTCCACGGGGAGAGACAATCAATGTGGATTGTATTTTTGAGAACAAATGTGAACTCCACGTTTTTGGAGAGTAAAATTATGTTTTTGTCAGAGCGGTTGTTTTGCACGCTTTGCTGGTAATGAAGTATGAGTTGACTGAGATAGTAGGGAGCTGAGCGCAGAGCAGTAGAGTCAGTCAGTAGCGTGAGAGCTGTGTGATTAGACAGTTGAGCTGAGTTATAGTAGTCTGAGGACGTGTCTTTCTTAATGATGGAATACTATAGATATATATGTGAAATTACATTCATGCAAGGATTATTTATTAATATTATCAATATAAAGTGTGTTCAATAAAGTACTGTGAGTTTTAACTAGAATTGAGCATTCTTCTTTACGTGCCTGAATAATAAGTGAAAGAATGAAGAAGACTGAGTCGGCATCCTGAAGCGTTAATATAAGTAACCATACTACTGACATAACCCACAGCATAAGAAATAACATCCCACGCCATGTCAGAGTAGAAGTGTGTTACAAATGGTGTCAGAAGCGGTGTAACGACGATGCGTTACAAATATTGTCAGAAGTGTCAGAACAACGATGTATTACAGAACATTGAGTAACAATGATATATTTTAACATTCGAATCGAACGTCATTACGCCCGAGTATTTGTCAAGTCTGAGAAGAGTCCACGACACACAGAGCAAGCTGACAACGATTGAATTTAGGTCAGTCACGGGAGTCAAAAGTTGAGAGTTCAAACAGCTAACTGGTACACTGTTTCAATTATATAACAGTGGAGTGAATATTCTCGTGGAAGAAACAGCAAGAAATCTATTTTACAGTTATTAGTCAACGAAAGAGATGATCCACACAAAACCAAAAGAAGTCTGATGTCATTACAGATGAGATGTTTTATCAAGACAGCGGAAGTAAGATTTCCCCAGCATAATCTTTACTTTATACAAGCAGCACAGTTCAAGTCAAGTAATTCTTCAAGTAATTCTTCAATTACTCACAAGTGCAACAGAACCGGAGATAAATTAGACAATTTTCAATTATTGGATTATCACAATTACACTATTACGCAAGGTACTTACATTGGAATATTGCAGCAATTTGTGGTGTAACTTTTCTCATTGGATTATTTTACCCAAGTACACTACCACATAGGATTATCTACTACCTAGAAGGAGCATCTACTACATAGGATTATCGATTACACAGAAATCATAGCGTCACAGAGGAGCAGAGGTGACCAACTACAGATTTCTTTTGGACACTTTCACTTGGTATTTATGTATATTATGTTATGTATTATATATATAATTTAAGACTTTAAAAATATACTTATATCATACTTAATTAGATTAAGTAAATTTTTTACTTTTTCTGTGTAATATAAGTTTAATTTTAGAGTATACTGTAGGGACATCCACGGTGTTATCTTTCCTAGGGAAGTTTTTTTATTAAAACGGTAAAGGTTTCTTCTGGCCCTATTTATAACACTGTAGGATAATTTTGTGTTAGCTGTGAAGTCTAGTTTGTACATTGTCATAACTGTTGTTTTTTAGTAGATCGTGTCATATTTGTGCTATTTGTCTTGTCATTGTTATACATATTGTCAACCTACTGTCATATTTTCTACTATCTTGTGGTCCATAAACTACACAGTACTTTTGTATTTGTTGTCTCATTTGTGTACATGTAAACGTCTACATATCTGTATTTATGTTGTAAAATAGACAATTTAATTATTTTAAATTTTTCTTACACTTATTTATAACTTATAATTCATGTATCAACTTGCATTTGTGTATACATTCATTAACATGTAGATATATGAAATATCGTAAACTATTTTAATTGATAACCAAAGAATAAGGAGATAACTGATATACTGATACATAACAATATAATTTTAGTTACTCACATTACACATAAAAAATGGCAGAGTACTTGGAATTATTAGAAGTAGGTGAGAAGCTTGGTTTGAAGCAGGAGAAATTAACTGACTTCGTAACTCGAGAAATGGACAAAATACGAGACAGACAGAAAGAAGACAAAGACCGACAAGACAAAGACAAAGACCGAGAAGCTAGAATGTTAGAGAGAAACGATCTTAAACAAATAGAAGAAATGAAATTAAAAGGACAAAAAGAAATAGAAGAACTTAAATTAAAAGAACAGGATATGAAATTAAAAGAACAGGATATGAAATTAAGAGAGGAAGAAATAAAACTAGAAAGAGCTAGAATAGAATCAGGACAGCATACACCATCAACAAGCAATAGAGAAACCAATAGCACATATAAACCCAAATTTAGAGAATTTAATGAACATAAAGAAGAAATTATTAGTTATCTGTCACAATTTGAAGGCATATGTCAGTCTTACAATTATAGAGAAGAGACTTGGGCTAATATTTTATTGAGCAGATTATCAGGGAAAAGCCTAAGCATTATCAATTCACTTAGTGAAGAACAAAAGAATAATTATACATATATAAAGAAAGTTTTGTTAAAGTTCTATGGAAACACAGAAGACATTTATAGAAAAAATTTCCACAACATAAGACTAGAGAGAGAAGTAGATCCTAACACCACCATATTCAATATTAGAGACAATCTTGTCAAATGGCTTGAATTAACTGAAATTGACCTAAATGATCCAAAAGCATTACTGGATATGTTTATCATAGACAAAATATTAAGAAATGCATCAGTCTCTTTATTTTCATTCCTTAAAGAGAGAAAGATTAAAAATGAGCGTGAGTTAGTTGACTCAATCACAACATTTAAAGATGCTCACCCCAATGAAGAGCTAGACAATAGAAACAGCACACTAGCCTCTATTAGAAACACACCCAGTGATAGGGACAGTCAAAAACAAAACACATATCAAAACAGAAGATACCATAGCCTACCTGCCAGATGGCAAAACAATAAATTTCAGAAAAGTCATCAAAACAATTACCAGACACCATATACTAATTATTCAAACAACAACAAATGTTTCTACTGTGGCATTCCAGGTCACAAAAAATATGAGTGTAGGAAATTACATAGAGATTTAGGACATTCACAACAATACTATCAGAGAACATCACCCAACAGTAGTCCAATTAGATACAACAGTGCAAATAGGAGTAGACAACCATATAAAAATCAAAGATATAATTCCAATCAGACTAACAGTAGACAAAACACCAAACCACATGAAACTTTAGCTAGCGCATGTCACAGTGAAGGAAGTTTACAATTTTTTCCTTCTTATGTAAACAACCAACTTGTTCAGTGTCTAAGAGACACAGGTTGTACAACAATAGTAGTTGACAAAAAATTGATTGATCCTAAAGACCATATATCTGAAAAAACCACAGTCATGTTAGCAAATAACACAAAAGTTGAATGTTATAAAGCAGTAGTGGACATAGACTGTCCATGGTTGACAGGAAAGGTAACGGCAGTACTTATGGACAACCCAGTATGTCAGTTAATAATTGGAAATATTAAAGAAATTCCAGATAATTCCCAAGAACTATTCTTAAATTGGATTGAATCAAAAAATTTAACCAAAGAATATATAAGTGCAATAACAAGACAACAACATAAAACTAGTCAGACACAGCCCGAAATAGAAGAAAAATTAGACATTCCAAAACAAATATCTAGAGAAGACATAATTAGAATGCAGACAGAAGATAGGCAAATTCAGGACATTAGAAACAAAATTAAGGACAATAACACAATTTATAGAGGACATAATTACACAATAAAACATAATATTCTAATCAGAAATTTTGAGAAAGGTGAAATCAAAAAATCTCAAATAATAGTACCATTAATACTCAGAAACAAAATACTCAACCATGCACATGACAGTCCTTTGGCTGGACACATGGGTATAAAAAAAACATTAGAAAGGGTCACACAGAATTTTTATTGGCCAGGCATACACAAGGACATAAAGAAACACATAAACAAATGCATACCATGTCTGACAAAAAACCCAATACACAGTAAACACAGAGCACCCATACAACCCACAGACAAAATAGGTAGAAACTTTGAGAAGGTAGCTATAGATATCATTGGTCCTCTTAATCCACCATCAAATAAGGGACACAAATTTATTTTAACCATGATTGATATGGCATCTAGATGGCCAGAGGCAATTCCCCTCAAAAACATTAATTCAGAAACAATTTGCATGGCATTATTAGATGTATTTACAAGACATGGGTTCCCTGATAAAATATTGTCAGATAATGGAACACAGTTTACTTCCAACTTAACCAATGCAGTTACAAAAATGCTAGGTATAATACAAGTACATTCCACAATATATAGACCACAGGCTAATGGTATGGTAGAACGATGGAACAAAACACTAAAAACAATGTTAAATAAAACAACAATAGACCACCCTAGAGAATGGCACCTATATATACCCATGGTTTTATTCGCCTATAGAGAGAGTATACAAGACACCACTGGGTACTCTCCATTTGAGCTAATGTTTGGGGCCAATCCAAAGGGACCGTTAACTCTTTTTAAAGAAAATATTTTAGGCCAGAAAGGCACACAACAAGACACATTTGACATAATTACAAAAATTAGAGAGAGGATTACATATGGCATAGAAAATGCTAAAGAAAACACTGATAGGGAGTCTAAAAGACAAAGACATATAAAGAATACACATAGATACCTCAGAGATCTTAAAGTACATGATAAAGTTTTGGTATGGTTGCCAAACAATAATGGACAAAAGATTTGGCAGGGTCCGTTTACAATTCATGACAAGTTAAATTTAGTTGATTATGTAATTCACATGAAGGGTGAATTGAAAGTCCTACATGTGGACTTGCTCAGAAAATATGACTCTGTTCCTGAAGAGTTAGAAACCATCAGTAATGAAATAAGTAGCACAGCCACCGTTGCTAGTGTTATACAATTAGAAGACAATGAAAATAACACCACAACAAACAGACACTTAACAACAATTCTAAAAGAATACAAAGATGTCATCACAGAGAACATAGGACACACTAGCAGTTTAGAACACAAGATAATATTAACACAGGAACCCACATTCAAACACAAAATCTATCCAATTCCATATGCATTTAGGGAAGAAGTAAAGAAAGAACTAAATCATTTAATACAGACTAACAAGATTAAAAGATCAGATTCACCAATAGCATCACCCATGGTAGTAGTAAAAAAGAAAAATGGCCAGTGCCGTATATGTTGTGACTATAGGGAGTTAAATAAAATCACACAATTAGATGCAGAACCCATGAGGGACACCAGAGAACTACTGGAAGAAATAGGCTCCTCCACATTATTCACCCACTTAGATTTAAACAGAGGATTCTGGCAAATAGGCATGCATCCGGATTCCATGCCTTTGACTGCATTTGCCACAGAGGAAGGCTTGTTCGAATGGACAGTAATGCCATTTGGTCTAGTTAATTCCACCGCAACATTTTCTCGATTCATGCGAATCATGTTAGAAGGCATACCAAATGTAGTACATTTTGTCGATGATATCTGCATTCACACTAAGGATATGAAGACACATATAGAGACTATAAAAACAGTACTAAACAAATTAAGAGCACATGGAGTTACAATAGCACCAAACAAATTAAAGTTTGCACAAGAGGACATTGAATTTTTAGGATTTAAAGTCGGTAAAAACACAATTCAGCCCACAGAACACAACAGAGGAAAAATACTAAATATAAAAACACCACACACTCAGAAAGAAGTAAAAGCCATTTTAGGTTTGTGCAATTTTTACAGCACTTTTGTTCCAAAATTTTCTGATGTTACACTACCCTTAAGGAAACTAATAAATAAAGATAGCAAGAAACAAATAGTATGGACGGATGAATGCGAAAATACACTGAGAACAATCAAAGAAATTTTCCAAAGTGACAACATATTGTTATCACCCAATTTTAAACAGTCTTTCACTCTAGTTACAGACGCCTCCAACATTGGATTAGGAGCTTGCCTTATGCAAGAATACAATCATAAATTAAGACCAATTACCTATTTAAGTAGAGCATTAAGCAGAACTGAAATTAACTACTCAACCATTGAAAAAGAATGCTTAGCAATTGTGTGGGCACTTACCAAACTACAGAAATATCTATTAGGCAGAAAATTTACATTATTGACTGATCACAAGCCATTAATGGCACTAAATAGAAAGAAAATAGCGAATAGTAAAATAAACAGATGGTCGTTGATACTATTAGATTATCAGTATGAGATAAGGACAATAAAAGGAAAAGACAATACAGTAGCTGATTTCCTTTCCAGACACATTGAACATGCAGACAATGACAAAGACACTGACTTAAGACACATTAGTCAGACATTCTAAATGAATATACACACATACGTTCACTCAGTTTTTTGATAAGACACTTGTACATATCAATTTTTGTAAATGAATATCAGATTTTAACCGATTGTAAATTTTCTAATGCAAAATTTAAGATTGTTACATTCATTTTGCAGTGTTTATTATTCATTAAGATGTTAATGTCACTTCACATTATCATACATAAAGATTTTAAGAGGTTGTCATTGGTGATTTTTTAATTTTTTGCCAGGGTAAATTATTCACTATTAAGTGTGATATTAACAGTAAAAGACTCTGTATTTCATAATGATGAAATGTTAATGTTGTTACACTGATTTGATTGTTAGATGTGGGATTGAAATTTTCTAAGAGACATTATCATTATTTCAACATATAATGCCAAAAATTTTGTTGCACAAAATTTTTTCAGATGGGTGGGGCATGTAACGGACTATGTTTTCACATGTAAACAGAGAGGTAGCATGAGTGGACAGTGAGTGTGTTCACCAGGTTTTTCCACGGGGAGAGACAATCAATGTGGATTGTATTTTTGAGAACAAATGTGAACTCCACGTTTTTGGAGAGTAAAATTATGTTTTTGTCAGAGCGGTTGTTTTGCACGCTTTGCTGGTAATGAAGTATGAGTTGACTGAGATAGTAGGGAGCTGAGCGCAGAGCAGTAGAGTCAGTCAGTAGCGTGAGAGCTGTGTGATTAGACAGTTGAGCTGAGTTATAGTAGTCTGAGGACGTGTCTTTCTTAATGATGGAATACTATAGATATATATGTGAAATTACATTCATGCAAGGATTATTTATTAATATTATCAATATAAAGTGTGTTCAATAAAGTACTGTGAGTCTTAACTAGAATTGAGCATTCTTCTTTACGTGCCTGAATAATAAGTGAAAGAATGAAGAAGACTGAGTCGGCATCCTGAAGCGTTAATATAAGTAACCCTACTACTGACATAACCCACAGCATAAGAAATAACATCCCACGCCATGTCAGAGTAGAGATGTGTTACAAGAGTCTGTACTCTTTGATAAACTCTGGGAATTCCTGCGCATGTCCCTGTACACCATTTCCTATCATATGTCCCTGTACACCATTGCCTATCATTTGTCCCTGTACACCATTGCATTTCATATGTCCCTATACACCATTGCCTATCATATGTCCCTGTACACCATTGCCTTTCATATGTCCCTGTACACCATTTCCTATCATATTCCCATGTACACCATTGCCTATCATATGTCCCTGTACACCATTGCCTATCATATGTCCCTGTACACCTTTGCCTATCATATGTCCATGTACACCATTGCCTATCATATGTCCCTGTACACCATTGCCCATCATATGTCCCTGTACACCATTTCCCATCATATGTCCCTGTACACCATTGCCTATCACCAGTGCAGTCATGTGTTACACAAGACACTGGAGCAAGGCTCAGCTATCATTATCTGACATCACTGTGCCTAGACATGGGAGATAATAAGCCAACATTTTGTCTTTTCCTTTTTTTTGTTTTGTAGTCTCCCCTGTCTGAGCCTTCACCTCAATTATGTCGTAGTCTTGACTACATGGATCATCTGTCACCTGGATGATTACATCACATTGGATCAATCCGCCTGTAAAACTCTGCAGAGGTGTGTACTGATCACTTGTCCTCATACCTAGCATGGCTTTAAGTTGGTATGTTCTTTATAGTCCATACATTAACATTTGGGTTTAAAAACTGAAATCATTATATATGTATATTAATTGATTGGTGCCTTCCTTTTCTTGTCATATTATCAAATAGTCCTATATGTGATCTCTTGTAACATTAGTTTTTTGTAACATTAAAACCTAAACCATTAGTCACACAAAACTGCATCCATCAGTCATAAGCAATCCCTCTTGTCATTCAAACTAACCCCACCCATCAGTCACATCCAACCACACCCATCAGTCACATCCAACCCCACCCATCAGTCACATCCAACCACACCCATCAGTCACATCCAACCCCACCCATCAGTCACATCCAACCCCACCCATCAGTCACATCCAACCCCACCCATCAGTCACATCCAACCCCACCCATCAGTCACATCCAACCCCACCCATCAGTCACATCCAACTCCACCCATCAGTCACATCCAACCCCACCAATCATTCACATCCAACCCCAACCATTAGTCATACCAAATCCCATCCATCAGCCACATCCAATCCCACCAATCATTCACATCCAACCACACCCAACATTCACAGCCAACCCCACCAAACATTCACAGCCAACCCCACCAAAAATTCACAGCCAACCCCACCAATCATTCACATCCAACCACACCCAACATTCACAGCCAACCCCACCCATCATTCACAGCCAACCCCACCAAACATTCACAGCCAACCCCACCAAACATTCACAGCCAACCCCACCAATCATTCACAAAACCCCACCAATCATTCACACAACCCCATGCATCATTCACAGCCAACCCCACCAATCATTCACACAATCCCACCCATCATTCACAGCCAACCCCACCAATCATTCACATCCAACCACACCCATCATTCACATCCAACCCCACCAATCATTCACACAACCCCACCCATCATTCACATAACCCCAACCATCATTCACTTAACTCACNCCACCCATCACGCACACACCCCCACCCCCCACTCACACCCAACCCCACCCCTCACTCACATCCAACCCCACCCACCATTCACATCCAACCCCACCAATCATTCACACAATCCCACCCATCATTCACAGCCAACCCCACCCATCATTCACATCCAACCCCACCCATCATTCACATTCAACCCCACCAATCATTCACACAACCCCACCAATCATTCACACAACCCCAACCATCATTCACTTAACTCACACTGGAGCGCCCACAATTAATGTTGCCTTGTTTGTAAGTAAATGTCTTTCAACTTGTTGAGAATTCTAGTCAGGAATGAGGTCATTTTTCAATATTAATTTTAGTTCTCAGACTTTTGTCTGTGTCAGCAAATCTGAGATCTTGGCCCGTATCCCTGGCACTGTCTCATCTTAAAAGTGCTCCAGTTCTTTTTTGTCTTGGTCCTGGCAAGTTTGGCAAGTTTGATGTCTTTTTGGGTAGACAACATTCTCTAAATAGATTTCCATGGCAATACACAACTGATATAGCCAGATCAGCTAAAAGTAAAATTTTACGCCACTCTGGCTTTTTAGTAAGGACCAAGCACTTTGGCCCTCAGCTGATGTTTTCTTTTCTTCTTTCACTTAAACAAATGCTGACCACTTGAACTGCCCATAGCATACATGATCCATCCAGAATTAGCATCTGCATTTCCACACCGGCCATTCCTGGACATTTGCACAAATTAAAACTAATAACTGGCAATTGGGTTTTAACAGAGAGGTGGGATCTCCAACTGGCAAACATGTCGTTTGTCAAGCAAATCAAAATCTTTGCTTGGCCCATTTCAGCATGAAACAATCTGACCACTCAATTTTATTTTATTCATGTTTGATTCTGACCACATATTTAAAAAAAAAACAGCTATAATCTATTTGATTAGAAATATACACATTCAGTAATGATTATTATGGGGATTTTTTCAATTTTATCATTAGAAAATTCAAGACATAACTTACGTAACTCACATAACAATTGATGAATGACTTATATTTGATCACACTCGAAAAGCCATTTACTTACCTAGTTTTTTTTAAATTTTAAAATTAAATTTGATGACATACTTATTTGATTCACTTAACTAACGGTGTTGCTGGAAGCGTTTTGGAATTAAATGGACTTTCAGTAACACCCATCCCAAACAATCAATCATAACCAGCCCCACCCAATGAATAACAAACAGTCCCACCCAATAAATCACAACCAGCCCCACCCATCAAACACAACCAGCCCCACCCAATCAATCACAACCAGTCCCACCCAATCAATCACAACCAGCCCCACCCAATAAATCACAACCAGCCCCACCCAATAAATCACAACCAGCCCCACCCAATAAATCACAACCAGCCCCACCCAATAAATCACAACCAACCCCACCCAATAAATCACAACCAACCCCACCCAATAAATCACAATCAGCCCCACCCAATAAATCACAACCAGTCCCACCCAATAAATCACAACCAGCCCCACCCAATAATTCACAACCAGCCCCACCCATCAATCACAACCAGCCCCACCCAATAAATCACAACCAGCCCCACCCAATAAATCACAACCAGCCCCACCCAATA